AAAAGAAAAGAAAAAAAATTCCTGTCCAACTGAAATTACCACTCTTTGAGTCTCACTACACTAAGGGACCCTTAAAGCCCCACAACCTCGGACAGCATCTCCAGAATAGAGTGGCTTCATGCAGACCCCACGGCCTCCTAACCAGCTCACACTCACCTCCACAGAAATGCTGCTGCTCATCTCTCCCTGGAGTACTGGGATCCCTGGGAAAAACTGCTTGAGGCCAGAAAAGTGCTGGTTGTTCCAGTCTGGCCTCTTCAAACAGCACTCCACGGCTGTTAACAGTGGACACAGGACATCATCAAAAGGGAAATGCTATCTTAGAACAGTTATAATTCACTCAAAACAGGCAAACCTTCCTTTAACTCAATGAGGGAAGGGAGAAACAACATGCATAGGCAGCCTTTTTTATTTATTTTAGGCAGCCTTTAAAAAAAAAGTCATTTAAAATGCATTATGGAAGATTAACAGTTACAGGGAAAAAAAGTCCTTGCAAGGTCCTATCACCTGTTTAGAGTTTTTGTATAAACACAGATGCTGTTAGGTTTATCAGCCAGTGTTGTTAAATCAGGGACTCCAGTTGCCTTGGGACCCTCTCTACCCCTCTAAATAATATGCAACATTCTCAACACTCCCCAAAACAGTGTCTCCAGAATAGGGAAGCCCATCGACTGAGGACTCAGTGGCACCGTGTGTAGCAAGTATTTATCTGTCTTGCAGTGGAGACTCACTTTCCAGGCTTTCACGCTGATGCACAGAGACAAGACAACCATGGGAACTGTCCAGTTAGGGTTTTGAATTGAAATCTCCAAGATCACAAATACCACCCTCTCTCTAGGTTCAAAGTGCTCCTGCCTACAAGGGCAGCCCTGGCATGTGCCTCTCGCAGCAGGCCGACCCTTTGGTTCATAGATGCAGGCTGCTTTGTTCATGTGTGCATAATAAATGGACTTCCTCTCACAAGCAGGGTCTTATTTTTACAGCAAGTTTTCTCAAACAAATTAATGCTAACACAGCAGGCCAGTAGGATAGTATTTTCATCACTGAAACATGTTTTCCTTGTACCATTGGGTAAGGAAGCCTCCTTTCCCAATTATCTCTAATCTCAGCACTTCATTCAAATGTAGCCTAAGACCAAAAGCCAGGAGTCACCTTCATAGCCTGCACCAGTCCTCAGTGCAACAAGCCTCTGATTCCGAAAGCTCCCTCTGAGCCAAAGATGAAGCAGATAAGTTATTAACTGTTGAGATTTCTACTGTAAGGTCACACTGCTATTACTATGAGGATGTAGTACAAGCTAGCTGGCACTATTTCCCAGGTGGTAGGTACCAACAACCTGATGCAGAAGCAGCACCCATCCAGACAGGGCAGCCGGCACACAGGTCAAGGAGGGTGACAAGTCCACAGTTGCCCTGCAGCACAGCATTACTCTAACCCACACTACCTGGCTACTGGCTGAGACACAAGTGGTGAAGTGCAGTCCTCACCCTGGCTTCCAAAGTGTTTTAAGTTCCTGTAGCTGTAACTGGACAAAGTATGCTGAGACACAAAGGCACAAGCATACACCACCACTACTGGGCATTCACCTAGTCACCAGACCCACCTAGTAAGATTTTCAAACAGCACTACTTGCAAAACGGCCACTGAGACTGCCTGCACACAGGGGGGTATCCTGCCATACTGGATACTTCCTCCAATTCAGAGTTAATGGAACTGGAAGTTTTACATCTATCATTTGGGTTAACTTTCTGCTTATTACAGATTCTTTCTGGTAAGTGCAAAACCATGTTTTCTGGAGACTTTGAGAAAATAGCCCCAGCAGCACTAGGCAACCACTCAGGCTCATTGCAGCAACAGCCAATCAAGTACTCACATCACGTCAAGGCAAAGGTTGAACCGGTTAACCACCTGCAGGTCACCAATTAACCAGCTGAACTCTATTTGACAATCTCAACCTCGGGGAGGCAGTATAGATGAACAAGCAGGAGGTCATCACTTACGGCTTGTATTTATAGAAGAAAGCACTCCTCATTTCCACTAGATTTCTGACTCTAGTCCATCAGGGGGCAGTTCAAATCACAAACAACAGTCCAAAACCAGTGAAGCCAACAAGTCATTCCTTTCTAACCAACCCTGTAAGAGTTTCACATATAAGAACTCAAACCCAAGGTCACAGGGAGGAGAGCTGGCATCGGCCCCTCCCAGTTCAGCTCTGCACTTGAACCTCACCTCCCACACCAGCAGGCGGCTACAGAGGATGGAGACCACAAATGCAGGTTGTACAAGTTTATTTTTCCAATTCCACAACACATACAAGAGCAGTGCTTTTCTCTGGGCAGCGCCACGAACCAGACCAGTGTCAAACTATACCTTTGAATGGCCCCAAAGGTCCCAGGAGAAAGAGGAATGGACATTTGGGCCTCTGCTCCTGGTCTTTGGTAAACAGACTCGAGCTGACAACTTCATCTATACTGCATTTAAACCACAGCATTGCTGCCTTCCCACTCATGCTTCAGATGACAATACCACCTCAGATTGATTAATGGGGGGGGCTTTCAGATGAGACGAGACTTGCCCAAGGCATAAAATTTTGTACTTCACACAGAAGCACTCGCACAGGGAGACAGACCTAAATTAATAAGGAAGACTCTCAACTCTTCACTAAGTCAAGAAAACAGGGTAAGGGAAGAGAAACAGGGGTGTCTACCTGTTGGACATGTGTTAGGAGCAGGTAGCAGGGATAAAGGCTGTTTCTTCTCAAACCTGCTGCCAAAAATGTCAAAAGGAGCCTGGCGGTACCAGGTATTGCTGTGACAGGTGGGGACCCTGGAGCCAGACTCAGAAAGCCTACCTGGTGGCCACCCAAAGAACTACTCATGAGTCCAGAAGCAATTAACACTGGTGGTGGTGATTTGCCACATATGCAGCAAGCAGCCATTAAAGGCTGGAAGAGAAGAGATGCAAGAAGCAAGATGCATTTGCTTAGTGGTGTGCAGGTGGGCTGACTATGGCTCTGCAGGCTATGGTTGATTGCCTGGTGACAGGTGACAAAACACCAGGCCAACCTGACATCATCAGTCACTTCCCTCTCATATCAGGCAGCACCACACTCAGTGCCTCTGACAATCAGCATAAAGAAGTAAATGACAGCACTTTAATGTAACGATGTTGAAGACGTAAAATAAGGAAGAGATGTTCGTGTTCTCTGTACAATACATCCATTTACAGATTTGGCCAGTACTGTGTACAACATATAAATACAGGATAAAACATTAGAGGTGCATAGAGCATACTTACAGAAGCCCAAAAGTTCACTTTATACATCCAAGAATAAAGAGTTAAAAATATAAAAATATGAAACACACACTGTTTGGAAATGTAAAATGACTTCCACATACACAGGTGCATCGAGATGCCCACCCCAAGTCCACTGTGACAGGGTGGGTGGCAAGCAAAGTCACCTGCAAATGTCTATACAGTTGACTCACAAGGTTGACAGATGGTATTTTCATAGAAGACAACCCCAATTCCTGACCCTGTTGTCCAAGAAGGGATACTCAAGCTTCCAAAAAATCCTGTGGGCCTGGTGGATGTTCCAAACTGGTTGCAGCAATAGATGCAAAAGTCAAACTGGCTCCATCAACTAGCAAACGACTTAACTGTGACCCTCAAGTCAGCAGGTGCTTGATCCCCCTGGTGGGCAATGATGGGAGTTAATTTAACCCTATGTGGCTTCTTCCCCAACCATCAACTCCTCCAAGTAGCAGAAGACGGCAGGGAGGGGGCAGTGGAAGACTGACGTTCCTGCTCAGTTCAGGTGGGTGAGTTCCCTTGGTGGAGAACACAACCTTCTGATCTCAGTTTCAAGTCCCTCTGGAAGTCAGGCTGGATTCCCCTGCCATGTGAGCTCTGTCTCAAGAGGACTCAGGCTGGCCAACCTTGGCCAACCCACAGACTGCCACCCAGGAAGCCCTTCCTGCAGACCAGAAGGGTAACCAGTGACAGAGGGCATTAGCACTGTAATTCTAGGGTGAGACAACAGTGCTCTTTCCTAAAGAGACAGAGTCTATTGTATCAATGTTATTCTGTATACAGATTTAAGATCCATCATTATCAAAATACACACACTAAATATACAATTTTTCCAGTGGCCATAATTTATTATCTCACCACAAGGCACAATACACAGAGCTTTGAGGGTCCAATACAGTCATCGTGACAGAACGCACCACAGCCTTGGCACATGATCATGGCTTTCAGGCTGCACGCACACTGGAGCGAGATTCTTTCCACTGTGCTGCTGTCAGTGAACATCTGCAAGGAGAGTGACGCGCTGTGGCTTGCACCAAAGTTTGCTTTGTGGCTCAGCTGCACCACACTTCCAGCAAGTCCTTTGGGAAAGGTTGGTGAGCTGGAAGAATAATTAAAGCTGGTGGAACTCAGCTGGAGTTTAGAAAGCTTCCCATAAAAAGCCTGCTTGATGTTGAGCTGGGAAGGAATGGAAGAAGGCTCCAGAGGCTGACTGAGCCCTTTCCCTGGCTCTCGGGGCAACTTCCAGAAGGGCAAATCCATGACAAAGGGCATCCCTTGCAAGTGACCCACGAGTTCCAGAGGACTGTGCCCAGCAGCTTTCCTGTTCTCTGCATCTGCCTTAAGCGGACCCCCCATAGCCTTTTCATTCTTAATGCTGCTAACAGAGGCAGGAGGGGGCTTTGGAATGCAGTCTTCTTTTGCAGTCTGTACTCCATCAGATACAGAGTTTTTGCTCAGCCCCAACTTTCTATTGGGAAAAACAGGAGGGACCTCGGAAGGCAGCAGTGTTGGGTCTGCAGGCCTGGGGCACTGAATGGTTGCAGTCATGTTCCTCGGGCCAAAAAGCTTTTTCCCTTGGCCTCCAATGTTACCCAGAGCCCCAAATGTCTGCTTTGGACCAAAGGAGATCACATTTGGAGATGAGAAACAAGGTGTTCTCGAGGTAGTGAGATCTCCTGGATTTGAAGTAGCATTTGAATTACTGCAGTGGGATGCATCTCGGACATCCTTCTTATCTTCAAAACTAAAGGGAGAGGGCTGCTCTTTGGAATCCACTTCTTCCGGTTTCCCAGAGGTGGTCACCAGATTTGTCACTGGCTGCAAGTGGTCTAAACTCAGAGCCAACTTGGAAATCTTCTGGGGTGCTCCAGGTGCCTGGGTGGCCTCTACACTGCCAAGACTGTTTGTTTCGCACATCGTAGGCAGTAGAGGATCCTTCAACACTCTTAAAGAACCAGGGCTGCTTTTGCTAATCATGTGACCATTTTCCCCCAGATTATGCGAAGACCCTATGGCCAGGGGGCCACCATGGCTCTGTTCTTTTGTAAGTGGCAGTGGTGGGGATTCTGGCTTGCTGCCACCATGGGCTGGAGGAAGAACCTTCTCTAGGGGCAAGTTACCCTGTAGCAGCTGCATCACAAGCGGGTTGTTGGCCTCCACTGTTGCCCCAGGCCTGGCTAAGCACATGGGTCTTGGCTGGTACTCGCTACTGGCCAGCAGGAGGGAGTCTGGGATTTTCTGGGGTACTGCACATACTCGAGAAACCCAGCTCTGAGAAGTAACCACTCCCTCTGTCCTTGTAACCAGACCCAGGTCACTGTGTATCTTAGACAGGGAGGCAGACTGGTTCCAATCATGCTTGGGATCCTTTTCTACCAAGGATCCCTTCTTCACTGTGGCTTCACTAGTGTCAGCCTCACTGCTATCCTCAGTCAGGTGGCCTTCAAAGTCAGATGCTGTATCTGTGGATTCGCTATGAGGACTCAGTGCTTCAGGGTCTCCATTTGATTTCAGCTTTTCACTGTCTACCTGCTTGTCCTCCGTGTCAGTGTCACCCATGGCTCCTTGAGGTCGCACAGTCCAGAGTGAAGCACAATTGTCAGGGGGAGCCACACCCTCCTCAGCTGCCAAGCCCCTAGATAACATGGCAATAAAGGGAGCAGCTTTTCCCCACTGTTCTACAGCCTGGGGCTCCATGGATGGTACATTTTCTCTGGATTCTGGCTCAGATGGGTTCATTACCTTGTCATTCAACAAGATGGGACTCCAAAGAGCAGCATTACCAGAAGTGAGAGCCTCACTTCTCAAAGTTTCCTGTCTACTGTAACTTTCCCTCATGGATGGGCCCGAGTCACGAAGTCCTAATTCATCATCAAATGGTCTGTCCTGCAGGGAGCCAGTCAGTGATGATTCAGATGTGGAACTGGGGGTCACGTTTACAGGATCCTTCATGATAGGAATACTGTTGACAGTCTGGCCAGTTCCTTCTGCTAATGTATCTCCCACTAGAGACTGCACAGAACCATTGTTTAGAGGAACAGTGGCTCCTTGTTTCCCATGATCCATTTCCCAGGAAATGGTACCAGACTCAGACTCGGTTCTAGTATCTTGATGCAAATCAAGGTGCTCTGCTAACCTCTCAGTCACTGGGGTTTGGGATGACAGGGACGGTAAAGCCTGGCATGGCTGGTCTCCAGTGGGAGCAATCGGGGGCTGGGAGGCATCATCCAGCCCACTTGTGAGTACACCTGGAACCCTCTGCAGTGGGCAGTTTTCCTCCTTTCTGTGAGAAGCTGAGTCTTCTCTCCTAGCTCTGGACACGGCAGTTCCAGCCGGTGTGTGCTCTCCATTCAGAGGACAAGGCGGCAGTAGTTGTGCTCGCTGTAGATCTGACGCACACTCTCTGGGGGTGCCCGGGACTCCCCTGGGCTCAGGGTGGCCACAGGTCTCACCACCATCACCACTGCTGCTGCCTCTGCCACCTCCCTCATCGGTGGCCCCGCCGCCACCTCCACCCGGGCCACCCCCCCCTCCGATAGCAGTGGTGGTCGTCTCTCCATGGCAGTGGTGGCCTCTCGCCCCTCGGGCCTGCAGAGCACGGGCTTTAATGTCTGCGAGGGTCCTGGCAGCAGTCCAGCCCCGGCAAGAGGACTCTGTGATGGGGACGATCCGGGGGCATATCTGGTAAGTGGGCTGACCTTTAACCACCCAGGGTGGTTTGATACGTGAAAGTTGAATCTGCAAGAAAAGCACAGGGAAACAATTTTAACTGGTAACCCAAACCAGGAAGTATAAAGCAAATCTAGGACACAATTAGCTTAAAAGTCATGGCCTAGGGAATTACTAATCACAGTAAAATGGTTGTCTATACTACAACTTCATTCTGCGATTCTGTTGAAGGGCTGTTTATGCCACACTTCTAAATCTATTTTTTGGTGGGACTATGTGACTCATTACAGCAAAGAACCTAACACTATCTAATAAAAGTTTAAAAACTCCAAAGGATTCTGACCTCTAGAGATAATTTTAACAGTAAACAAACAGTGAGGAAAGTCACTGCTAAACTATCCCCGAGTCTTTCAGTCAAGAAAAGCTCCTTTTGTAGAGCTATGTTTCCACATAATTCAAACTAGGGCTCCAGGGTGTCTGTCCTTGCAAAAGGGCTCTATAATCTCATGACCCTCAAAGGAAACCTGGCACCAGGGCCATCAGCAATCAAAGAGCCTCCTACCCGGATGGGCGGGACTTTGGGCTCCTCTTTAGTGGGCTGTGGCTTTTCGGTGTGAACACTTTCAATTGTGTTACGAAAGGACTGACGATCTTCAAGCCGGGGCTTCTTTTCGGGAAAGGATGTAGAGGCCGCCTGCTCAAAGGACTTTCTCTTCTGATCCTTGGGTTCCTGATCCACAATATCCTGAGACAAGCATGGAATTCTGTCTGGAGATGCAGAGGCATGTGTCGAGTTATCTGGCTCCATCTGGATGTGGGAAGCCACAAGTTCACCAGGGCATTGAGGAACCCCTGGGCCAGATGCTGAAGAGGATACACCTGGCACGGGGGTACTGCTCACCCTGGCTGTGCCAGGTTTAGCCTGCCCATCCTCGGACAGTAGAATGTCTGGTGCCACAGAGTTTGCATCTTTAGCAACCCCTGCTTGTTCTGGCTCCTGTTTTTTGCACAGATTCCTTCGGGCTTTGGTTCGGAGATCTGGCCGAGATCGTTTCTTAAAATGCCCATCTCGGCGGGTCACTGGACCACGCTGTGGCTGTGGTGATTCTCCTGGGACACGCAAGCCACTCTTGATTTCAGTGTCCTCCTGGCTCACATTCTGCTGCAATGATTCTTCTTTGGTCAAACCCAATCTGTAAACCAAAATCACACCATCAGTTACAGGCCAGAGGACATGTCTCTTATTTCTGTTACCAATACATACTCGGGTAAGTAAATATAACAAATATGTAGATAAACAGATACATACATGTACAAATACATACATATGCACATACACAGATATAACCAATTTACATGGTACATAATACTAAAGAAAACTGTATACATGCGCTACCATGCCTGTAATCCCAGCACTCAGGAGGCTGAGGC